CAAAATAAAGCTGGTTTCACCCCTGAGCAAAGATGAAAAAATATTTTGAGACTTTATTCGTAATGAGAGTGAGAAGAAAGACGAGCATCACCAATTTTTTAGGGCAAAAAAACTTTTGAAGAGAGGAAAATTTTCAAAATTACCCACGTTATAAGTAAAATTTAATTTTGAGGGTGTTCAACACTTCTCGAAGCTCTTCTTTTCCACATAATAATTAAATAAAATTTTTTTATTTATTAAATAGCAAGTGAGATAGAATCTTAGATAAATTAAATGAAAAATTGACAGTCAAAATAATTAAATACCTCCATAATATAATGTTGCTTCCATCTCTTCTCTGTGGATTTGATCCCTTGCTTAAAATATTAATAAATTATTAATTTTCAGCAAAAGGCAAAGATTTGCTCAACAACAAACGACCCATTAGTGCCGGCTTTTCTTTCCATTTATTCAATTTATTAAAATATAATTATGATTAAAATAAATAAACAAATAATAGAAAAATAAAAGTTATTGCTGACATAACTGATCATTATCTTAGTACCTAATTGAGTGGTGAAGGAGGCGTTTGGTCGAATTTTAATGATTAGAATTATGTGGCCATGGATGAGGCAGCAATGCTTTAGATTAATAATTCTGTGCCATTCAGTAATTAATTACTCTAAAAATATATTAAGATGCCATAAATCAGTCCTTATGAAATAAAAGTACTGAGGAGAATTAATTCAATTGATTTTATTCCCATTTCATCAAGTAGAGATTTAGGTTTTGTTTCCCATAATTTTTAGCCACTTTTTTTATTATTATTATTTTAAACTATACTAAAGAGCTATTTTAAAAAGCATAAAGAAAAATGTCTCAAAGAAAGGATTAATTATTATATGCGGGCAACGAAAATCATCCGGAGATCAACCAGAATGTGTCATTTCACCTCTTGCTCGGTACTACTCGATACTGCGGCTCTGTACCTTTGACGTGGCGCATTCTGATTTGTCTCCGTATGATGTTGTACGTCCGGTCTCCACACAGAATAATTTCTCCAAAGAAAGGTATAAGCTTTCTTTGGAACAGCTTTTTTATTATATAGATACTAACTTTTAAAAAATGATTATAAAATCCAGCTTTTTAGTACAGTCATTTCTTAAAAGAGAAATAAAAATTATGATTACGATCTAAAAAATTAAAGCAGAAAAAAAATTATTTCAAACAAACCTTAACTTTTTATGCCGGTTTTTTTTTTTTTTTTGTCTATCAAATTTAGGTATCAGCCCCCAATTTTTTTCTTGAGAACATTTTTTACTTACTTTCAGTGATTAAAAGAATACTAAATAATTGTAATACATTCCATTCTTTTTACACATTATTTCATTTTAATTATTCAAATAATTCAAAATATTTTAAATATGCTACTTTCTTTTTATATTGTATTTTATTTTACTCAACATTTTTTCTTCAAATCAAATGGCCTATTATTAAAAAATAAATGCGTATAAAACAAAAATAATATATATAAAAGTTTTTAAATTGCTTCGTGGACTATACTATTAATACAATATATTTGGGAAAATTAATACAATATATTATTATTATTATTTTTGAAGGGAATGAAAAGTACAATATTATTGTATTTGAAATAATAGTTGATCAGAGGGGACCAATGGTGGAATAATTATTAGGTCTGGTGCCCTGATGTAGCTCTACATCCGGAGGCCAATAACATGTCGCCACGTGCTCTTACTCTTTACCGCGTGGCTCGACGACCCGACTCGGACCGGAACTCAGTATTGCTATGTTCGGGTATTGCTAGGTATTGCTAGGGGTGTCAATAAAGAAAAGCAACAACTCGGCAACATCCAATACAACACCCAACAAACGGCCACCATGAGCAACTAGGGGTGTCAATATTTGACACGACACGAAAACCTGACTCGGACCTAACCCGAAAAATCCGAGTTGGACTCGACCCGATTTCAAAAAGGGCCGGGTTCGGGTTCCAGAAATTGACCCGCTTAAAAAACAGGTCGGGTTCGAATTGACCCGGCGGGTTGCCGGGTCAACCCGTCAACCCATTTAATTTAAAAAATTTCGAATTATTGCTGCCCCCGCCCGCTACTACGCGATGCTGCCCTGCTTAGGGGTGTCAATATTTGACACGACACGAAAACCCGACCCGAAAAATACGGGTTAGACCCGACCCGATTTCAAAACGGGTCGGGTTCGGGTTGACCCGGCAGGTTGCCGGGTCAACCCGCAAACCCGTTTATTTAAAAAAAATGAATTTTTTGCTGCCTGACCGCTACCCGCTCTGCCCTGCCCCCTGCCCGGCCGCTGCCCCGCTACCTCCTGCTGCCTTGCTCGAGCTCGCGCTCGGCGTGCCACGTGCCGCGCTGCAACGGCTGCGGCCCTCGCGCCTCGCGCCGTCGCGTTGCCTTGCTGTCGCGCTCGAACTGCCGCGTGCCGTTCTACCACGCTCGAGCTCGCGCTGCCGCGTGCTGTCACCCTCGCGCCTTGCGCCGTCGCCCGCTGCCGCATTCTCTGTCGCACGGGTCGGGTCGAGTCAACCCGGCAACCCGTCGGGTCGGGTCCGGGTTCATAATTTTTTGAACCCGTTTCTTCTAACCGGGTCGGGTTAGGGTCGACCCGTTTTCCACCTAGGTTAGTTCGGGTTCAACCCGAACCTAACACGTGACCCGAAATTGACACCCCTAGCCCCGCTGCCCCATGCTGTCGCGTGCCGCACTTCCGCTGTGCTGTGCTCCGTGCTCGAGCTCGCTCTCGCACTGTCCGCATTGTTGCCGCCCCCGCGCCTCGCGCCTTCGCCCGCTGCCGCGCTCGCGTCGCGCCGTCGCCTGCTGCCTGCGCTCTGCCGTCCGCCCGCCTGCGTGCACAGCCCCGTCGCCCGCCGTCGCGTTCTCTGCCGCGCGGGTTGGGTTGGGTCAACTCGGCAACCCTCCGGGTCGGGTCCGGGTTCGGATTTTCGACCCGTTTCTTTACCCGAGTCGGGTTAGGGTCTACCCGTTTTCCACCCGGGTCAGTTCGGGTTCGACCCGAATCCGACCAGTGACCCGAAATTGACACCCCTATGAGCAACCAAGCGACCCAGTAACAATCCAAATAAAGGAGATAAGAAACATGCAAACCACACAAAGCAAAAAAGAGAAGAAGAAAGGAGAGAAGCACCTCCTCCACACCCAACATCCAAACCAAACAAAGCAACCAGCCAAATCGGCCCAAAGCCAACCAATAGCAAAATACCAGCTAATCAAAGATAAACCCACCCAACAAAACAACAATTGATGCTTTCTAGATTTCCCTCAACAACATTCACTGCCACGAGATAAATCTTTCTCAACTATCCGACAAAAATTTAAACCATATAGATCCCAAAAAAATTCATCCTGCTCATCACCTAAATCATCACCTACCTCACCAAGTGATGAAGGAGACCCATCAAGCCAACCCGAATGTCCAAGACAAGTAACGCCTAAATTAGAAGCAAAACGAGCATTCAAACCATTAGGAGACATAACAACAATATGCACCTCAACAAGAGCCTCAATTCCCAGATAAACTAAAATGGCACATCGCAATTGGAATTCATAAATTAATAGTTTGATGGAGAAATGAGAAAAAGCATACACATCTATGAGTAAAATTTTAATTTTTAAATACAATGCTTTTAAAATTCAAGAATTTATTTTTGAGTTTGGCTAAAATTATTAACATTTGTGTCACGATACTCTGATACAAAAATTTATTAAAATAAACTTCAAATTTTTTTTAATTTACATTAAAATTAATATTATACATGATATTCACACTCAAAATTAATAAATCCTATCATGATACTTTTTGCATCAAAATCTGAGATTGAAAATAACTAAAACATTTGAGAGGGCGTACGAGATTTTTTTGGGGGGGTAGGGGATTTTTTTTTTTTTTTTTTTACTTCTTATTTTGCTTTCAAAATACATATTTAGTTTTTTTTTTTAACAAAACAAATCTTTTCACTCAACGCAACTTTTAAGAATATTTAGTTATTTTTATGCTTGTCAAAATGAATGGACCCCTACAACCCAATCGCCATCACCAACCTATACAATATGCCATAACAAAATAACATTTATTTAGAATATATGATATATTTTTATTTTATATTAAAATATAAATAAAATAAAATAATAAATAATAAAAAAATGTTCTCAAAAGGCCCATCCTCCTTTAAGAAAAAAGCCCTTAGTACTTATCATAGAATACTTCTTGGTGTATTAGTTTAGAGTTTTGACTATTAATGAAGAGGATTTGAATTTTAATCTTATGTATGTGATATATGTGTAAGTTTACCTTAATTAGCCTAAATGTCCCTAAAAAAAGAGAAATTTGCACATAAGGCTTTTAAATTATAATCAGAAACGAATCACAACCAGACTCAGCATTCAGGCTACGTTTGGGACGACTTTTTTAATACTTCTTAAAGCAACCTTCTAATACAAAATTTAAAATTTTGGTACTAGAAAGCTGCTTTAAGAAGCAGTAAAAAAATTGACCAAACGAAACCTCAATAAACAGGATGGTCTCCCTTCACTTGATCAAGATTCCCTTGATACTAAAAAGCCTATCCAATACAGAACCTGTAAAATCCCTCAGATTGGTTAGAAGTAATACAGCAGAATGGTCTCTCTTCAAGCTGGAACCATCCAAAATGGCGCTTTTCGTGTTACAGAAAAGGAAAGAAAAATGCGTAAATTTTTATTTATGTGATTTTTGTGATCTAAATAAAGCTAATTTCTTTTCTTTATGGACTACTTATATGATTACAACCTAATCAATATAAGCTCAAAAAATGAAAATTTTATAAAATATTTGTAATGATTACTGCAAGATGATTTCATTTGAAATGAATATTTGTGAAAGAGACCAGTTTTGATTGTTAGTATTCATTGCTACAAGAAATTCAGTGGATATGCTAATAATGTAGCTCCATCATGCACTCATCAACATGAAAATGTCATCCAAATCTACTCAAATGATCCAAAGCTTGAACTTTGTGATATATATTTACGGTATGATTTTATCATTTTACATTTAGTGATCTGATGCCAGTAAAAGTAACCAGCCAAATCTCTCAGAAAACTGCCAAAACACTTCAAAAAGAAAGCGCATATGAAGCACATTTCCTAAGAAAGCAAAAACATACAGGCCATCATCGGCGTTCCCACTGAGATTAGATGAAAAAAAAAAAAAATCAAATACAAATAATGGTTAAAGTTCCAGAATCAGAATGAGAATTGATGATAATTGTATTCAATTTGCTCCACTTTGTCTTAATTCTTGCACAATCATGAGACGATAAGCAACAAAATCCCTCACCGCATAAAGGTGATTAAAGCTTCGTGTGGGACAGCTTTTTTAGTGCTTCTTAAAACAAATTTTTAGTACAAAGTACTAAAAGACTGCTTCAAGAAGCAATAAGAAAGTCGTCCCAAACGAACCCTAAGGCTTCTTTTGAAATAACTTTCTTACTAGTTTCTATAACAATTTTTTAGTACAAAAATTTTCTTGAGAGCAATAATCAAAAGCTGTCACCAACGGAGCCTGAGACTAGTTTATGTAACCACCAGTTCTATGAACAGGAAAAACTAACATAAATAGGTTTTAAAAAGTTGAATTTTTTTTTTTCTCAAGAAGATAATCAACTAGGCAAACAATGAGCAACTCACTGAGTAGGAAAATTTATGCATATGGAATCTAGAAGCAGAGCACGAGAATAAAATTATCATATGTTTGGCCTACTCATTTACCAGTAAAAACTTTTGAAGGATTTCTAAGGTGAAAAATTAAGGCTTTCAAATCCTTAAATTTGTTACGAGATAAGTATACGACATGAATCATTAACTAATGCATATGTTTCACTCATCTCAAGATAAATTTAAGATCTCATTTTAATCAAACTTTACCAATAAAACAACTAAATGAATGTTCCCTACAAAGCATATCACGAACCAACATGATCAATATGCACTACCGTTACTACGAAGTACATATGATACCCATTATGGAAGGCATTGAATGAAAGTAGTCAATTGATAGTTGGATAAGGCTGATAATGATGTTGACGATCATGCCTACCATTGCTAGGCTGCGAATGAGATAGTCGAGCCTCCAAACATGGCAATCCCTGTTGAAGGCCATAGGAAGCCTAAGAAATTTTAGATCAAGCCTTGCATAAACAGGTATTATGCATTTGATAGGAAATACTTGAGTTCGAAAGTAACCCTATCGGGAATACTTGAGTTCGCAAGAAAACCCATCACTAATTGGTGAGAAGAGCAAGAACAATGCAAAATCTGGGTGAAATCAGCCACAAAACGTTGTATTGCAACAAGGGAATCAAAGCCAAACAAACATGAAAACAAGATACAAGTGATCCTCAATTCGAGAGGAGGATCGTTCTCTCACAATCTCTAGAAAAATAATCTAGAGCAAAGACGCCAAGGAACTCCAAGAGAAAAAACAATCAAAGCATGCATAACCCTAACCCTAAACAAGCCATACTATTAATACATTAATTTCCTAATTCAAACATCTTTAATTCAAATTTTCTCTCTCACCCTAGCCGCTCAACCCTCTCTCATCAATTTACTCCTACAGGGGCCCACTAGTGTGGGTGGAAAGAAGGAAAGGATGCGGCACTTGTCCGCCTCCTGTAAACCTGAGCCGGCAGGCCGGATCAACCTGAACTTGCCTAACAGCATTGTAATCAGCTGAGAAGCCCAATCAATGCCTTTGATGGTAACAAATACTTAATATGGAGGAATCACGAGATTTGGAGATCATAAACAACATATATAGCATATAAAATTAGTTCAGCAATCATGCCTTTTCAGGCAAAATACCACTCCAAAAGTATTCTTGTGTAGTCTTAAAGAGTCGAGCCATTAATGGAAAGATGCCACCATAAAAATTTCAGGTAAAATTACAGAAAGGATAGAAATGAGAAAATATGTGGGTTATTTTGTTTAATATTGATTCCTATTTATATAAAAATCTGTAGAGATTTAGAACTCATGCCTAGCTAGCAACAACTAATGACTAGCTTGCAATTTACCGTGAAGGCAAGAGGATTGGCAAGAATGTTAAATTCACTATTCACGTTCGGAGTCCAGGTACAATATTTGTAATTGTAGTTGTATGTAGAATATGAAGGCGTATTAATAGCTCTAATGATTTAGTACCTAAAGTAGAGAGACTAAATAAGTTTTATACAAATTTAGGAAAGTGAATCATTGCATCCCTCTAATATGGCCCCTCAAGGTGGTGTCCCCAGAAAGGACTCAATATTCATTCAGAAATGGTCCATGGATGGCAAAAGAGTGATTTAGTGGGTGCATCTACAAGTTGATTATCGGATGAAATATGAGATACGCAAATGCCATGATTTTGAATTTTTTTCTCAAACAAAATGATAATCAATGGCAATATTTTATTTGTGAATTGAAGACAGAATTGGGTGGTTCTAATATTGTCGCAACAAATCATTTGTGTGGTAGGGAAAGAATACCAAATTCATGAAGTACTATTTGTAAACATGTGATTTTAGCAATGGAGGCAAGCCATGCCACCACTAGCCCGATCCAAAAATCCTTATTTAAATTTATTTATTTTTAAATAAAACCTAGTCACATTGCCCCTAATTCCCGCCAAACCTATAAGTGATTCTAACATTCTCATTCACTAATCACACTAAAATCGCTGCAATGCTATCATTCTTGTCGTTTGCCGCCATTCACAAAACATTCACCGCCATTCGTCATGATTGCTTGTTCGCCCAATGCACTTCGCATTGGCCGACCCCTATGCTTCGTAAGCTAAGGCTAAAATCTGCTCTCGTTTCATCTCAAGTACCTACAACTGACAAGTGTGATATCGTCACAACCCTGATATCATCAAAAACCTAACACTGTCGCAGACAAGGAAGCATGGATGCTTTCAAATGCCTTATGTGTTCAAGTGCAACACAAATATGGACACGACTCATACATGTATTGACACATGTAAACAATTTTTTTAGTAGAATTGGGCTCCAAAACTTACCTAACACAGCAGGACATGGGAAGTATACGAGCAGGCAAAGTAAGGCGGAACTCAAAATAGAACCATGCTTGCAAAGGAATTGACATTCGAATGCTTGTAAGAAGCTCTATCCATCTGTGATGCATAATGTGCCTCCTCTTTATCAAAACCATCTCGTATCTATGCCTGGGCATCAAAGCCATCTTGCGCTCCCCCTCAACATCTAAGCTATCTCTCGATCATGCACCGATACGAAAATACACACCCTCGTACTTAATAAGAATACACGGTTGATATTTTATTACATTCTTATTCTTCTACACACAGCCTTCTTCTAGCCATAGCACTTGTGGACTTCTCCCTAGCTCTAGCCAGCAACTCAATGTCAAGACATAAGAATGAAATAAATCTCGAGATTATTTATTTTATCCTTTCTTCTGCTCGTTACATGCTATATCATTGTTTCAAAAAAAAAAAAAATTTTTTTGAGGCATTACTTTGGTTAAGTAACCCATTAATCACAATATTCATGTTCTAATAAAATCAATCATTGCTTTGGGGCATCACTTCACATGTAATGGGTTAAATAGCCATATGAAAATATCTCAATTTCATTAATAAGTATGATAAATAGCTAGCTAGCTCTCAACAATTAATTTACTTCATTATTCAATTACCTTAAAAAGTTTGATGTTAAATCATTGATTATCTTCATTCATGTCATTAACTGACGTTTAGAGTATATCTAATAGGCTATATATCTTTATTCTCATAAATTTAGTAAAGGATAATTGAAAGTATATATTTCATATTAATAATTTATAAAATATAATGTGCTCATGGCATGTAGTATCCTACTTTTTGCATTTATGCTATACCGCCGTGTTTGTGTCATGTCATGTCCGTGCTTCATAAGTCACAATCTGCTCTATCGATCTTGTCTATGTAAAAGTCCATATCTCGCCACTAACTATTTTTTCTTTTATTAATAGTTCTTTTTGTTATACATGATCAATTACCACCAGATTTGTTTTGTTTTTTACATTATTTTCTAATTTTTATTTAATTTCTTATGAAAAATGAGAAGTCAAAATATATTTGACTAAATCTATTTTTTTAGATTATAAATTTGTATTTTGAAATTCAAAAAACATACTTGGACTTATTCTCACATAATTTTCAAAATAATACTTTAGTACATTACCTTTATACAAAAATAACAACAATCCTTTATCCCATTACATGGGGTCAGCCACATGTATAATTTTTCTCCATTGTATCCTAGAAAGAGTCAAATTCTCGTTTAAATCTAATAAAAAAGTCATTCTTAATACTTTCTAATCAAATCTTTTTACGACAACTCTATCTTTTTTAATATATATTGAATATAATACATCTACTCTCATAACAAGGTCATCAAAAGGCTGATGTTTTATGTGATAAAACCATGTAAGGAGATTCTAATCTTAATTGTCACTAATGTTACTCGAACCTTTTAATGTATATACTCAAGTTTTGCATTCTCTCTCCAAGTGCAAAGCCACTCATCCACTTGAGCATCATCATCTTTGACACTAAAGTTTATGTTTTTCTTTTAATGGCCAATATTTTGCACCATAAAGCATTGCAGATCTCATCGCCATCTTATAATTTTTTCCTAAAGTTTGAGGAGTACTTTTTTATCACACAATAGGCCATATGCCTTCTTCCACTTCAACCATCCAATTTGAATTCTACTAATAATATCCCCATTAATTTCACCATCGCATTGAACAATAGACCCGATCATAGTTTGAAATTGCGTAATAAGAGGCGCGCCTCTGCGGCGCAATTATACCCCAAAGAGCCTCATTGCTTAAGCTTTTTTGGGTCTTGGTGAGGCGTACGCCTCTGTGCATGTGAGGCGTGCCTCTGAGGCTGAATTGTGCAATTTAGAGTGAGGTGCACGCCTCTTGTAACCGGGACCCACACACTTAAGTTCTAATTGAAATAAGCTATCTTCTTGCTTTCTTATTTCCACCTACCCGAAACCGAAAGGATAAAGCCGCAAGCCGCACGCTCGCTCCGCTCGGCCTCCCTTCCTACTGCCTCTCCCGCCGGCGCCGCCTCACTCCGGTGGTCTTGTAGTGTCCGGCCGCCCTCTAG